GTGGAATTCCTGAACTGCTGATGGGAGTTAACATTATGCAATGACTGCCTGACTGTATCATCTCGTGTTGCTTGGTGTTTTAGGGAAGGTTTTTTTAATAGGTGTGTGCTCATACTCAGCTTGCAGGCGGTATTTTTCCAGGCAATACTTCTGAATTATTATAGTGTGTCAGATATAATCAGTTTATTTTACTGGAGTGAGTAATACTCTGTTGTGAGGCCAGAAATTGCATCTTACCTTCTAGTTGCAGATATTCTTCTAATTGCATCTTGATTTTTATGGCTCAGTCAGAGGAAAACTTCTGCAGTTTTCCATTAGGAGAAAAACTTGTATCCTGGCATATCTGTGAAAACTCCATGTACAGGTTGATCAGGTTTCTTGGCTCCCAGCCCTGGTAAGCATTTACTCCAGTTCCAGGCAGCCACGTGTGCCTCAGTGTTGTTGGAAAAGTCAGTTATTACAGGGCTACCAGTGCTCCTGAGCTCTGGAATAACATTTTTGTTCACTCTGGAGCTGTCCTGGACTTGGGCATCGCTGTATTTTTGGGCATGCTGTTGTGAAACCTCTAGCTTGCGATACTCCTAAGGTTGCCAGAGACTGGAAGGATTAAACTTGTGGTGTGGAAGCCCTCAGAGCCCTGATTTAAGCTGGAGCTTAGAGTATTTCTGTGTTCCTGTGGCAGAGCAGAGATCTGAGTTCTTCCTAGAAGACTTAGGACAGTTTTGCAGGTGTCCAGCCCTGCCCTGTGAGGTACCTGAGCTTGGCTCCTGCAGCTTTGAGCAAAACCCACCTTCTCCCATCCATGACTGGGGCCCTCAGGGCAGCTGCAGGAGCTGGGGAGTGCTCTGTGCTCTGGAGCCTGTGCTTCCAAAATAGCTTGGGGATTTTGGTTCTCAAGAAACTTGAAAAACTTGGTGTTGGCTAAGATTGAACTGAAAGCAGGTTTTTTTTTTTTTTGAGGAAGCTTTTTTCTAAAAACTGGAAATGCTGTTTCTGTCAGCTCTGCTGAGCACCATTCTGTTGGAGAACCTTTCAGTGTGAGTAGAATGTGTGAGAGTCTTGTGTCTGTACACGTTTGCCTCAGCTAACAAGCCTCTCTCTTCGTTCTTCTTAGTATTCCAAGCTGCAGAAGGCGAAGCAGGAGAGAGCATAAATCCACCAGACATCTGTTCAGGGTAACAGAAAGCAGGAGGTGACAGGAAAGGTTTGCTGCTAATGTCATCACTGATCCTGATGATCTCAGTCATGAGGTTGTCTTAGTAATTTACTGTGTTGCATTGAGGTTTTGCTGTTTGAGAGAAGTTTTAACTCACCAACATGGCCACCTCCTCTATAGCTTTTCCTTCCTGTGAATGCCTGGTTTTTCAAAGCACAGAGTCCTGTTGCTGTTTCAGAAACGCTATTGAATTACCATCTGGCTGAGAAAATAACACGTCACTATTTAAAGCCAATATTTGCTTGCAAAAATAACATTCAGATTAAAAACACAGCCTGAGAGAGATTAGTGTCTATTTTACAACTGTTGAGGTCAAAAGCGTGGTGAAACCCTTGGAAATGAGAGCATTTTAGCAAAGCCTGCTCTCACGCCGTGATCTGGGATCATGTACTGGCAAGCTGGGTAGAATGTGGCAGCTAGAGAGCTGCTTTGGCAGATGGCATAGTGAGAAAGTAGAGAATTAGATGTTCCGTGTTTCAAGTAGTACTATTGCATGTGCCTGTTTATCAACAGAGATTAAAACCAGGAGGCAGAAGGCGGGGATGGATTTAGTTTCTGTGGGCTCCTGCAGTTCTTAGTTGTGTTCATGTGTAACATGGAAATGCTGCACTGGAAAAAATGGTAATTTATTTTATTATTTCATATTTTTTTTGTGGAAATATTTTTGCACTGGCTGGCAACCAAGGAGGCTGTGAGAGTTTTGTTCATCTTCAGGATGTAAAACACTTTTCATTGTTCTATTTCTATGTGTCCCTTGTTTACTGTTCATCTCTGGATCAGCCTTTCTGTGCCCTCTGGAATGGCCATTGCCCCAATGCCAGCGGGCAGTCGGGAGTGCCCCTGTTAGAGATGTGACTTTATAAGGGCAGTTAATGATAGAACAAGGGGAAATGGATTTAAGCTGAAAGAGGGGAGGTTTAGATGAGATATTAGGAAGAAGTTCTTCACTGTGAGGGTGGTGAGACAGTGTCCCAGGTTGGCCAGAGAAGCTGTGGCTGCTCCTCCCTGGAAGTGTTCTCGGCCAGGTTGGATGAGGCTTTGAGCAACCTGGTCTAGTGGAAGGTGTCCCTGCTGCTGGCAGGGGGGTTGGAACTGGATGAGCTTTAAGGTCCCTTCCAACCCAAACCATTCTATATTTACTGCATCGCCATGGGCTCTGGTTTTGAAGGTGGGAAGGTTCCACGCTGATGGCTGCAGTCCCATCCAGGGAGACACAGACACAGGCAGTTCTGGGAGGGTTTTGCTGCTGTAACTTCAGTGCAAGTTACACACGAGTTTTGAAGAAAAGGGTCTTTGTCACTTTGAAATCCTGTTACTGCTTTTTGGTCATCTCAGTCCTGAACTGCCAATCCTGCAGTTGTTGCTGACTGACAAACCCAGAGCTGTTCTGCTGAGCAAGGCTGCTCCAGATAAAGGGTAAATAACAATAACCCTTTCTTGTCTTATCATCCTTCCCAGCTACTGCAGGGTGGCACAAAAGAGCTGTATTTTCTCTTGGTGCAGTCTCAGTGCATCATCCTGGTTATTAAGGACACTTTTGATTGTGGAATTCAGCAATTTGTTTTCTCTCCTGTCCGACAGCAGTTCAGAGGTGATGCTGGCAGAACTCATAATCAGGAAAATGAACTGCCAAACTTTGCTGCAGTTACTCCTCTAGTCACAGAATTATTCTTGTTCCTCATTCTGGGCAGTGTCCCATGCAGCAGTGTTTTATCAGTGCTAATTTAATATCAGGGGTGTTCCATTCCTGGGAAGGTGTTGGATCTGTGGGGAAATGACGACTGTTGTTAATTCAGGACAGCACAAGAGTTGTGTGTGGACACGATGGTTAATGTGTAAGCTAAAAGCAAAGTGGTCACCTCCTCTATTGGGTCCGAAGGAAAGGATTTAATTTAATCCAGAAGTAGGACACAGAACTGACATGTAAATCCTGTTCTTTACAAGATGGTTTCAAATGAAAGCGTCTTGCAGTGGGTAATGCCTCATCTCTTGGCAGCCCCTACATCTCTTCCTGGGACAGTGCATAACACCAGGCCTAAAATAATACAGCTAGCAGCGTGTGATTGAGTGGAAAATCTCGTAAAAGCCTTTTATTAGAAAGAACAAGTTTTACTTTAGGATCTTGTTTCTGTCTTTTATTTTGCTGTGTTGTCCCAGATATTTTTTTAATTTCCCATTTACTTTTAAAGAAAAAGTTCTCTGCACTCTTCAGACTTTGTGTATCTTTCTGATTTAATCACCTATAAAGTTATTTCAGTAACTTAAAAGCTTTTTTGGTTTTGTAGTTCTGAGATGCAGATTTCCACATTGCAGCTTGAAGTACTGACACGTTTCTGAGGTGCTCTTGGGCTGAGGGCTGTGCTAAGCTGTACTTGCTATTCAGGAAGTATTAGGGTAGCAGTAAGTAGGTTTCAAAATGAGAAGTCTGGGGAATTTTTACCTTTGGTTCTACTTGTTCAGAGCTTCTATGTGCTTCTTTTAGGATTCAGAGAATATTACTTCATGTTAACCTGTTCTCAAGATCCTACATGAAAGACTTGTTTCTAACCAATGAGGGAAGGAGAGGCCTCTGTTCAAAGCATTTTCCCTTCCATTTGGAGAGGTTGTTGAATAATTTGAAACTCTGGCTATGAGTCTCTCTTGTAAAATGCATCACAGTCTAATGAAAAGTGCAAAACAACTAAGTATTATTTCTTTTTCCCTTGCATCTAGGAGTGCTCTTTCTCCAGCACTCCCTGTGTCGGAGGAGATTATAAAGCATGTGATGTTGTGCTTCGTTTTGAGATGTAGGACGTGTAGTACTCCACTTAGCACAAGTTCCAGGAGAGAGCTGGAGTGATCTCAAGAAAATGGGAAGCTTCTCACATGTCATTTTGCTTGACAGCTGTGTTGATGATATGAAACATGGCCTAGGTAGTTTAATGTTGGCTTCCCCTTTAATAGGTGGAAATGTAATTGTAGCTGCTGCTGAGTTGTTGACTTTGCCTTTGTCTCAGCACTCTTCTTTTTTGCTTGTGAATGTGGGAGGTTTTTTTTGACTTGAAAACACCCAGGTAATTTTAACTGTCTTGCTTATTGGGTGCATGACAGCTGGGCAAGCTGATCCACTGGAGTTGTTGTGAAGTACCTTCTCCTCCGTACAGAGTCTGCAGTACAAATAGTATTTTAAAAGGTTGACACAATCACAGGCAAAAGCCTGTAGAGTTCTCATCTTTCAGATGTTTATTTGAAATGTCTATTGATTTTTACATATTTTTAATACAAAATTATTCCAAGGACAGCTATTTTTCTAAAAAATGTATATTCCAAAGGAGCTAGTGTAGAGTTTTATTGAAATTTTATTGAAAATTGCAATTAAATGGTTGTTAAACATTTAGTGTTGCATTATGTTATTGACTTTCAACCAGAAGAATACCCACAGATCTGTTAGCGTAACACCTACTTCTTGCTGAATGCAATGTTTTTCTTCTCCCAGTTATGGTTGCCTTGTTGTTGATTATGGACTGAAATCCATATTACTAATATCCTTTTTTTTTTTACCTTCAAAGGACTGGCCATTTGATGATGGAGCACCACCCCCGAATCAGATAGTTGACGACTGGCTAAACCTGTTGAAAACCAAATTTCGTGAAGAGCCTGGATGCTGTGTCGCTGTTCACTGTGTTGCAGGGTTGGGAAGGTTGGTATTTTGCTGTTTTGTTTTTATTCTGGATGTAAAGTTAATTTATTTGTTTTGGGAGGTAGGTCATGGAAAGTGTTAAGTAAATAATGTCTCTGTTTTCTCCCAAATAACACTTTAAAGCAGCAGCATCAAGTTTGTGTCGTTAAAGCATCAGAGACTTATTGCAGCTTAAAAATCTTCAGTAATTTCATAACTCCAGGATGAGAGGGGAAAAACTTGGAGAGGTTGTTCAGAACACTTCTGTCAGTCATGAATGACACCAGCATTTAGAGATGCTGTTAATTTGGAAGTGTGTCTTTCTGCAAAAATAATAACATCTCTTGTGCTTCTTGACAAATGCAAGATACACACATAGTACAATTTCTAAGGCTGTGCAGTTGGGTTTTCTTAATTTCCTCCTGTTTTTAACTGGCAGACTATTAAGCATGGAGTAATAATAATTCAATTACTTTCTTACTCTGGAGTGACTTCACTGCAGTGGTAAGAAGAGTTAGGCTTGTATTTCTTGCTCGCATGCAGACTGATGTTTGTCTCCTCACCACTCCAAATATAACTTCCTTCCTTGGGAATAACTTCCTTTCAAGATGAAATAAAAAAAAAAAAGACCAATTTGGGAAAGCTAAATGTTACATTCATATTCCCAAATGTAATCTCTGAATGTTATGTTTATCCTATGGGCTAGGAGGAAATGGAGCTTAAGTGTTAGTATTCTTACAATAACCATGGGAGTGGTAATATTTAAGGCTAGGAATTGAGTGGGCAGGAAAAGTGGATTAAAGAAGTCGAGTAAGTACAGAGTTGGAGTGTGTTAGGTTTTTAAATTTCCATTTCTAGAGAAGAAGAGATGGGGAAAATTAAGAGGTAGAGGGAGAAATGGCCAATATTTAAAGACACAAGAGCCAAAAACCCAAGGCAATTAGTATTTGTTTATCCATTTCTGCTCTATTTTTATCTGAGGAACATCTTTAGGAAGGTGGCCACATGTAACTCGAGTGACTTTTGACTCTCCTGTTTCTTGCATAATACCAGGCTAAAGGATACCAGGAGCTTCCCGTGTTCTGTGTGTCACAAACTCGTGTGGTGTATCTGTTCTTTACAGAATGACCTCTTTGCTGTTCTCACACTATTTCTGGCAGAGGGAAAAGCAAGTACTTTACAGATTTTGCTTTAATCTGGAAAACTGTCTACCTGTAGTAGGGGACTGAACCTCAACTGCAGTGAAGAGACACCTTTTTTGTTGTTATAGTGACTTATGAAGCTTCAAATTGTTTCCTTAGGGGACTGAACCTCAACTGCAGTGAAGAGAGACACCTTTTTTGTTGCTGTAGTGACTTATTTTGTTTCCTTAAATTGACTTAAATTGTTTCCTTGGAAAGTAAATATTTCTGTTTATGCAGGTGCAGCATGGCAGTGATCATGAGAGTTGTTTCTCCTGAATTATAATTTCATTTAGCCATGAGTACAAGTTGTCCAGTTGCTCACACCTATTTAACCCTTTACTGCTCTAGTGTCAAAGGTGCCCATTGTAACTGTGTGTGTTTAGTGGGGTGAACATCATCAATCCAGGAGAAACTCTGTGTGTGTACTGTGACTGTGGCTTGTTTGAACAGCCAGCTCTTTACCACACACTGATTTCCAAAATGTGGACCCCAAAGTAGAAATTTTTACTCTAGTAAAAATTCCCTGGAATTCCCAGTTCCATGTACAGCATATTAATTTAAAAAAATAAAATCTATATAAGCCATCTGCTCAATGCTTCATAGATCTGTCTCACATATAGCTAAATCTACAGTGTCATAAGAAGCAAAATGCATGTAAAAGGGACTACATGCTTGTTTTAGCAAAGTAGAAAATGAGGTTACAGTGAAATGAGAAAGTGTCAAAATACAGAATTATTATTTCATGCCCCAAACTTTAAGGAACTATTTCTGTTGGAAGCAGAGCTGTCTACTAAAAGAAATTTTACATTAGGTACTCAGCAGGCAAATGTCTTTCTGTAGATAATGCTTAAAGAGAAAACACTCAAGCTATTCATTTAGAGATTAATTTGATGTATTTTGAGGGGGTTCAAGATACCATTTCTCCAGATCTTCCCTAAATATCGATTTCTCCTTTAGGGCTCCTGTCCTGGTTGCACTTGCTCTCATTGAATGTGGAATGAAGTACGAAGATGCAGTTCAGTTTATAAGGCAGTAAGTTAAACTTCCCCATTCTCAAGAAAAACGATCAGTTTATGTTCTATTTGAACAGTGTTTGTGTTTGCCAAAGTTTGTTGGATTTATAGAATCATAGAATGGTTTGGGTTGGAAGGGACCTTAAAGATCATCCAGTTCCAACCCCACCTTCCACTAGAAGGTTTTATGGTTTGCTGAGGTTTGTTCCCTTTCCTCTGTTTAGAGGTGAGGATTAAAAGGTGATCTCTCCTTTTTTTTCTTTTCTCCCTGTCAAATCTAGGCTTATATATTAAACCATTGACCTAAGACTCGAAGATTTTTTGTCTAGGCTGGGGCTGTAAAAAATCATGGATGAATTAAACATAGAATAATTGCTCCTAATTTTAAAGAAATTCTAGTGAGGTTGGGCCCCCAAGCAGAATTTCTGCAGCACGTAGATGAGCAGCAGCACTCCCACAGGTGTTGTCAGTGAGTGTATTATCCACCCAGGAAATGTCAGCAACCACCCTGTCTGGAAAAATAACAAAACTGGTGAGGGATGTGACTGCAGAGCTCTGTTGGTTTAATGATAACATCAGATCTTGAAATGAAGCCCAGCAGGTAAGATTATGTTGAATGAGCTTTGCCAAAAAAGCAATTCATCCTTTTATGGATTCCCAGGGTCTTCAGTTATCTTTGTAAACTGTATTGCTGTCAACAGATTTTTCTGAATTTTTCATTTCTTAAATTCCTTTTTTTTTTTTTTCCCCCTCTTCCTGGGCACGGTCCCTTTTATACCAAGAACCTCTTACATACTTGTATCTGAATGTCATGGTTTTACTTAGCTAATAGAATAAGTAGCACATGCATCTGCAAGGAAAGGGTGACCTTGATGTTGTTCAGTAACTACTGCTGGTGATGGAAATAAGCTCTCCCGGTCCAAGAAAAGATGCTGAAATTTGCTAACTGGATTTTGATTTTAATATTAGCGTGTAGGTGATGAACTGTGTGTGCTGGCCTGATTTATCCTTCCTCATTGTGTCAGGGGGTGCAGAACTGAGCCAAAATGCTGTTTTGTGGACAGAGAAAAGCTCTGAAACAAGGACTGATCTGAAACTTTGAAAAAACAAACTCTTGCTTTGTTTGTTTTTTTCAAAGTTTCTGCCTTTCTTTTTTTTGTTACTATGCACTAAAGTGAAATGTCTCGCTAATCAAAGGCTACTCAGTATAAAAAATTAATGTGCCTAATTGGAGCTGAGATATTCTGGTATGATATGAATTACTTTTCTCTTGTTAATTTTTTTTTCGCCACAATATCCATTTTGTGATTGATAGTCACAAAATCAATCTGATCTGATTGATTTTTGTGCCTATCAGTCACAAAATAGAATGTATTTGGTGATTGAAGCTGTACTTTTTCCATTGATACAAGCCTTCATTCTCTTTGTTTTAGGAAAAGGAGGGGAGCTTTCAATTCCAAACAGCTGCTTTACCTTGAGAAATACCGACCTAAGATGCGATTACGCTTCAAAGATGCCAACGGTCACTGCTGTGTTCAATAAAAAACAAAAACAAAACAAAAAAGATCTCAACCGAAGGCAGAAGTTAGCATGGGCTGTTTTCTGGACTCTTGGCACCTGGAAATGTGAATCTGGAATCAAACTACATCATCAAATTAGTGGTGGAGTTAGTGCTCCTCAACCTCTGTCCTAATGGTGGTGATGATTGAGAAAAAAAAATAATAAAAATTAAAAAAAAAAAAATTAAGAGAAACATTTCAGTGAAGGATTGTTTTCTCCTTAAGCTGCAGTCTGAACATCTGCAAGGAGAAAATCAATTTCTGAACCTTCTGTATTTTTAACTTTTTAAGAAAAGAAATAAAGTAAATTTTATGTCTAAGGAAAACCAGCAGAGCATTGGCTTGTGCAGAAACTGTTTTCTTTATTCGAGGACAGTCCCCCACAGTTATAGGGCCTGATGTGTTAATTCCTGTGGGACTCTTTTAAATGGAGTTGCCTTTTTTTTTTTAACCTTCCTGGGACCTGGCAGGGAGATGTGAGGAGGAGCCTTTGTTGCTGTATGGGAGCAGTCTGACAGCCTTAAGCCCAACTTGGGCATATTCCAGAGATGTGGTGATGTCTGTGTTGTGTGTCTACGTGGTGTTCAGACTCTGCAGGTGTCTGAAAACTTCCTGGTGGGCTTTAACAGAAGACTCACTGCCTAATATCTTTGGTGAATCTGATAAAGGCCTTTTCTGGTCAGTGGGAGGTTGTGCTTTTAACTGTGTGAGTGTGTACGCACGTGTGTGTGTGATTTTATGTGTGTCCATGTCAGTCTTATTTTTTTTCCAAAGAATTTGGCTGAAGTCTGAATTGTTTTTCTGTTGCTAGATAGAAAATCTGTCTCGGCAGAAGACAGAAGTGTCCTAGGTGAGCAAGGGGCAATTTGGATAAGGACTTAAAATTAATTTATCTGTCACGAGGAAGAAGAAAATGCTTTTTGCTGTTGTCCAGATTCCCTGCCTTGCTGAACACAGTAAATCAGGATTTGGGGGGAGGGATTTGTGTCATGTATGAAGTGATGATAGCAGGCAGACAGAAATGCAGTCCCTCAATAAATGCCTGTCAGTGTCTTCCCAGAGGAGCTTAACCACTGTATGGTCCAGTTTAACCACTGATTGCCTTGTTCCATTTTTATTAGGCTCTTTGGGAAGGAGAATCTCTAGTTACACACCACCATGCCTATTGTGTGTTCACCATTGGCAGAGCTAGAAATACACTGATTTTTGGATTGTGTCCTGGCACCATGTTCTCTTTGTAGGGCCATTGGTGTTGTCAGGGAATTACTCGAGACAAGTCATGTTACAGCCTCTCATAAGCAGTTTCAGCCAGGCTGCTTCTACCAAACACACATTAACTTCATGCCCTGCCCCACCAGTGACCTCGTATGCTTTCAGCTTGACATTCTCTCTGTAATATTCAGCCGTTGAAGGCTTTGAATACAGGTTTAGAGTTCTACACTGCTATGATCTCTTGCTGTGGAGCACCAAAGGCTTCTGTTGGTCTGCGCCTGTGGTAGGTGTAGACTGGTACCCAGCTTTTACCGACCCCTCAGCTGCTGGTGATGTGAACTGCCTTTGCAGGACTTCTTCCTGGTCTAGACTTCTGGTTTTAGTCTGCAGCTTAACTGCAGAAACATTTTCAGAACACAGGTAATGGACTTTGAGGATTCTATTCCTGGAAGGGATTTATAAATTTAAGCAAAAAATCATGGTACTTGTCAAGCCCCTCACTTTACAGATATGCCAGCAGACCTCTTTGAGGTCCATGGCTAGAAAACACTGCACTCCACAAAACTCAGTCTGTACCCTGACTCCAGCTGTGCTGCTGTACTGAGCTCCTTCCTCCCTTTACCATGTGTAATGTTTCTGATTTATTTAATAGATAAAGGAGCCACAGAAGTGTTTGTGATGTCAGTGCCTACATTAGGGCAATAACCTATCTGCTGATGTTTGAGTCCCCGTGGAAGGTAGATGATGCTGAAATTATCTAATTCTGGGCTTTACCTTCCCCTTGCAAACTAGAAGCCTAATGTTCTAACTTTCTGCAAGTTAAAATGGATGTTTTTAGGTAGTTAAAGCTGATTTGATAAATGATGGAAGTCAGATTGGAGGGGAAGGTGTTGAGCAGCTGGATTAAAAACCAAACCCCAAGCCCTTCTGAAGAACAATAAAAAAATTACATGCTATATGTGTAACTTTGCATTCTTCCCCTTAGTTCTACTCTGATTTATAATGTACTAATTATCATATACCATGACTCTGCAGCCTTAATTGAGGAAAGATAGTGAAAAATGCAGACTTGGCATAGAGCATAGACACAAATAGGGGGAGTGTGACTGTGACTGATGTCCAGTAGCCACAACACTTGGTTCAGCACTTGAACGTAGTGCAATAAAGTTCTTGCAGTAAGATGTCTTCCCTCTGGCTCTTGATGAATTTATTGCAGCTCATTAATGGTAAATGCTTTTCTTTAATCTAATTTGTAAAGGCCTTCGGACAAGTTTGTCCGTTTGTATTACTAATCACCTTTGGGTCCTTCATGGCTTGGATGTGCTGGTGGCAAAGACTCTTCTACCTTGAGAAGAGGCAACAGGGCTGCAGACAGAAACAGTTCTCCTTTTGAATTACCTTTTTAAAAATTATAAACTTACCTTTAAACAACTCCTCCACCCCCCCCAAAACCAAACAACAGCTCTGAACTTTCCCAAACAAACATCAACAAAAATCTGTTGCAAAACTTTCTGTTGTGCCCTGGATAAAACTCGACACGGTGGCACCTGGCAGAGTGTGAACGGGGTTATTGTGTTGGGGTGACAATGAGGGAGTTTTCTAGAGTCCTGGATCCCAGTCAGTTCCCCTTCCTTGCTAGTGGAATGCCATTGCATTGATTGATATAATTTATTTAAATAATACGAAGGTACTGTGTTCTGGGCTTCACAGATAACAATCCAATCAGCTTTGCTTTGCTGCCATCAAAGAAATATGTTACTTGCAAATCGATATCGTGTTTCTAATATTTATCTGATTTTTCCCACTAGTGTACTAGAACAAATTTTTAGTCCCTGTTGGCAATGAGATAATAAACCACTTTGTGAGACTGGCAGCAGTAACTGTGAAGTTCCAGCTCCTCTTTGTGGGTTTTTTTGTTGTTATTTAACGCCAAACTCTTGCTTTGTTTGTTTTTTCAAAGTTTCTGCCTCTTTTTTTTGTTACTATGCACTAAAGTGAAATGTCTCGCTAATCAAAGGCTACTCAGTATAAAAAATTAATGTGCCTAATTGGAGCTGAGATATTCTGGTATGATATGAATTACTTGTTTCTCTTGTTAATTTTTTTTTTTTGCCAATGTCTAGGCAGTTTAGATACTGATACTTTATCTGGAGATAACACTTAATCACATGCATATAAATGCATATTTATATCACTTAAGATGCTACTTTTGGAGCAATTAAGAATGATAAGCAGAGTGGAGTGACTCTGCATGGGGAAAGGAACTGCAGGAATCATGGTTGGTGCTTCTGTAATAGAGGATGTTCTTTTAACTAAAAAATTATAGATTGTTTAACTTGGTCTTAACACTTGGGGAGCGTTTGAAGTATGTGTTTCCTGGGAGAGGGGAAGAACAGCTTCTTGTCAGTAAACAGATCTTGAAGTAAAATGTTAAGGTTCCTATCAAACCTGCTATCTCTACGTGTGTGTAGTGTCACCACTCTAGACAAGTGATCTCGTGCGTGGCTGGAGCCTTGGCTCCGGGCTGTGACGTCCCCTCAGGAAGATGGAAGGAGGTGAAGGCATTTGGAGCGCAGGGTTATTTGCAGCCAAGCTCTGTATTAAATCACTCGACTCGGGTGAGTGGATTGCTCTGTCTGTCTGTCTGTCCTGGAGGATGACTTGGCTGGATTTGTAGAGGTGTCAGGTTGGGGGGTATTAGATAGTTCTGTGACTCTTCTATGAAAATGGAGATGTCAGAGAATCCCGTCCAGAACTGGACTTATATCTGATTAAAACACAAAGGGACATAACAGGCAATGCTTTTCACAGGTGTATCTGGAACACCTTTCATTTAAGCTGCCCAAAGACTACGTAAACTTCATCACCTTGATAGTCCCATCTTAAACATTTGTATCCCCATTTTGCAAAAACCAAAACCAAAGCCTGGACCTAAATTTTAGGACCTTCCCTTGTCTGACTGCTTGTTTCATCAGAACTTAAATCACCATCATCAATGAATGAAGAGACGTTGAGTGAAGTCTTAATTGTTTTTCATGCCATATATGTAGTCTAGATCCTGCTACTACTCACTGGTGGGACAACATCCAAAAGGAAAACGGGTCTGTCTCACAAAGTTACTGGCTATCTGACAAGAGTTGTTGGTGCAGTTGCAGAAAGTTGTCTCCATCCCACCCAGGACAGGGACTCTGCTGCTTTTTGGGCTGCTGGGCAGATCCTGGTTTCAGGGCTGGGGTAGGTACCAGGTAATGAGCACCCCAGCACTCGATGCGAGTAGTGGTGTGTCTGGCGAGGGGCTTGCCTCTTGGAGAAACAACTGTGGGTGAGATTTAGAGGCTGCTTGAGAAGCTGCTTCATTTTGGCAGTAGCTGCAGTGATAGTGGCAGGATAGCTAGGATTTGAGGTGGCTATCTCTGTGCCCTTTCTTACAGGGCTTAACTCTGTAGATGGAGACAAAATGAGGGACGCTGGAAGCCAACACCAGAGGAAAATCCCTGATCCAAATCTCTGGATGGATTAGAAGAGCTCAAGGAGGGGAAAAGAACCAGGTAAGGAATTACTTCTCTCTCCAGCCAGGGAAACCAAAAGCACTGGGTAATAACCCGACTCCTTTAGGGCTGTGCAAAGTCAACAGAGGAAGCGAATCTGGTCCCAGGATGTGGGACATCCTCTGTGGTTCCTGAAGCCACTTTGCTTGGAAGCAGAGCTGAATGCTGATGTCTGGAGTCCTTTACAGAAACGATTGTCTCGCTGACAAGCACCCTGGGGGGATGCACATGCAGTCATTTGGAAGATGGGATGTTGTGAAAGGCCCCCTGCTCCCAGCAAAGCGGGGAAGCTGAGGCTACCAACATCTGCAGTGTTTTGCAGAGAATGGAGGAGCACAGCGTGAACCCCTGCCTGAAATAATAACTCAGAAAGCCCTTGGGTTGTCTTTGGCAAGGCCGTGCTTGTGGAGCTTGTGACCTTCCTGGGCTACTGTTTTGTTTCTGTTTTTTATTTTTCTTGTTGTTATCCAGAGGGCTGGGGGATCATTAGCTTGCTGGGTAGCACGGTCTTGCTGAGCTGGTTATTCCAATTGACTAGACTTAGTGCTTTGGGGTACCTTTTTGCTGCAGA